ATCCATTGTCTGGAAAGGTAGTTTTCAAGTTTCATTATGGCATGCTTGCCTGGGTCCAGGATAATGGATGACGCTTTTGTGCTTTCCCAGGCACCACTGGAGTGAAGAAGAGATGAGTGCTTGTTCCCATGCTTTTTAGCATGATGTTTTCAGCAATGCTGTCAGATGCCTTCAATGAGGACCAAAAGGGCATCAAAGTCAGCTACCATACCAATGGTAAAGTATTTAACTTGAAAAGGCTACAAGTCAAGACTAAAGTGGAGAGAGGATTGGTGCATGATTTTTTGTTTGTAGATGATTGTCCACTCAGTATAGCCTCTGAGGCCGAGATGTAACAAAGTATGGATTGATTATCTCCCACTTGGGCCAATTTTGGCCTAACAATTAACACCAAGAAAACAGAGGTTCTCCACCAGCCAGCATCACACCATCCATATGTGGAACCATTGGTTATAGCAAATGGAGAAACACTGAATGCTGTGGATAAGTCCACTTACCTTGGTAGTACATTTGCCAAGGATATACAAATAAATGATGAGGTTGATGGATACGTTGCCAGAGCTTGCTCACTGTTTGGGAGGCTCCAAAGGAAAGTGTGGGAGAGAGGAGGTTTAAGACTGCCCACCAAATGGAAGGCCCATAGAGCCATTGAGCTGACCTCATTGTTGTGTGCCAGTGAAACCTGGACAATATACCAGTGACAAGGAAATCAGTAGTTACTTGATTTGTCTAACATCACAAATTGAATAAGTATCTGAAACCAGATTTGAACTTAGGTCTTGACAATTCTAGGCCCAGCACTCTATCAATGACACCATCACTTTTCTCTTGTTGGCTTTAGGTGATTCAATAAGATGAGATTTTTGGAAGGGCCAAAGCAAAAGAGGAATTATATTCTGGGTAGGAAACCATGGACAAAGGCATAAACTCCAAAGTGCAACAAGGTTGCTGGCAGGAGACTATAACCACAAGAGTTACCATTGTCTAAACGGGAAGTGATGGAAACCACATTAGTTGGTCAGAAAGGATGGCCCATCCCTGCCCTTCTCAGGTACTCACATTGTAAGTCTCCTCCTCACCATCAAAGAGTCTACAACTTACTCTACTGTGAACCACAGCAATAGCTCTATATATTGCCTTTCATTTCCACTGAACACTCAAGGACTAGGTTAGAAATCTTGAAGCTGCTACCACATGGAGAATAATTTGTAATGCTTCCCATTTCAAGATTGAAAGGTCACAAATTTAGAGTCTAAAGAGACCAGAGAACCCATCTAATTTAAATTTAACAGCTGAGGAAACTGAGGAAGCCTGAGAGGTTATGATTTGTCCAAAGCTACATAGGTTAAGACTTTGAAGCCAGGTGCTCTGAATGCAAATCTGGCAGAAACATTTCCAAAGCCTCAAATATTCATTACCTTTAAATTTCCACTGGGACTCTGCCCAGACCCCCCCGCACTAGAAGCTCCTTAGGAATAAGGCCTCAAAAACCAAACCAAACTAAGAGGGCACTGCATGCTCTACATGTAGTGTTATCTTCCAACTTTATATCTTCTGTTACTTTGGGCTGAGAAAATGGGCATGGTGCAGAATGTGAGCTCTGATAGGCCCTGGGGATCTGATCAATGTGGATTTATAGTCCGAGATGCCTGACACAATCTTCATTTTATTCTAAGGTTTTAGAGAAAATAAATTAGCTCCCCATCATTTTATCATCAGAGAACTGTTAAAATGGGAAAGCTCTTGATCCAGATTAAATGAAATAATATTTATAACATGCTTAACACAATACTGGTATGTAGTAGTCACTATATAAATGCTTATTCCCTTCCCTTCCTACCCCTCCTTCAGCCAAGCTCCAGGTTGAGCATATTTCCCATCCTATATAAAAAAGTTCCCTTCCATTTGCCCTCATCCACTATTGCTTTTCCCCTCCTGTTTTTCCCCCCTTCCCTTGCTCTGTGTACACTTCTTCCCTTGGGGCTTCTGGAATCCTATTCTAGCTTTCAAAACTCCCTTCCACTCCTTCCTCCTGCACTTCTCCGTATTCTTATATACATGAAAACCTGGATCTCTTGAGGAGATGACATCCTTATCCAAACTCGTCTTGTATTAACTGTCCCTTCTTTCATGTCTTCTACACATTTGATCAGGAAGAATAATAGAGTCTTTGAAGCTTATCACTATTTCTAGTTTCTCCAACTGCCACCACTACCATGGAACAATTTCTCTTTTAAAATTCATTACAGCTATCTATATCTTTGCATTCAGTTCTTGTTAGAGGCATCTACCAATTCTGAGAGAGGACATTCTTACATATTTCTTAAGATATTCAGTAATTGGCCCTCAGTTAGTTCATCAGTGAAAGTTAGGATATCAATATAATTTGAAATACATCACTTATCTATTGACATATTATATCTCTCAATAGAACATGTATGTCTTGAGGGCACGGGACTATTTTTCATCCTTATCTTTGTATTCTCAAGACAAGGCACAGAACCTTGCACAATAGTAGTTGATTAGTGAATGCTTGTTAATTTAATCTAGATGACCTAGATAGCAGGAATGGGAAACCAAACCAAAGAAATCCAGATATGAAAGAGAACAGTTTGACAATAATTGGGTTAAAGTATTTTATCAGAGTTTTTCTAGAGAGCAGGAATAGATAAGAAAACAAAATTTAACAATTTGATGCACAGAAGAAAACAATTTAAAACAAAAACACTGAGAGTCAGAATGAGAGGAAGAATAAGAGATAATTCAGGACAGTGTTTTAAAAAGCAAAAGTTATAATCAGGATCTTGAGTAAAGCAATAATAAAAAAAATTTGATAATATCAAAAGAGATAAATGTGAAAATTACATTATGCTCAAAGGCAACATAAGCAATGAAAATTTTAACTGTACATACATCAAGTGGTGCAGCAGTTAATTTCATAAAATCTAGGTGGATTAAAAAACTTATACAGCTACTAACCCAAAAATAAATAGCAGACTTTAATAGTCCTATCTCAGAGCTGGATAAACCCAAAAGAAAGACAAGAGAAGGAAAATTTAGAATTGAACATATTGTTGAAAATAATTGTGCAGTCTAGATGAGAATCTGAATAAATACACATTTTTCAGCATTTTATTGTACTGTTGCAAAGACTAATTCTATGCTAAAGCATGAAGACATCAAAAACAAATATTAAACTGCAAATATGATAAATATTGTATAAATCATAAAATAATATTTATAAAAATTAAATAAAATGTGAGGAAAAGACAGATCTAAATGGTGACTAAATGAGGATTTCCTGAACAATGGGTAAGTTGAGGAAAATATCATAGAAATAATAAACAATGTATCAGAAATAATGAAAACAGTAAAAAAAAACAATAAAAAATTACTAAATTTTGGGGACACAGCTAAAGCAGTTTTCAGAAAAAAAGTCTCCAAAAATGTATTAATAAAATTTTAAAAGAGCACCAGTAAATTGAGAATACAACTTAAAAGACTAAAAAAATAAGTTAGTGACCCTAAAACATCAAATATAAAAAAATCTTGAAAATCAGTACAGAAATAGAAAAATTTAGAAAACAAAAACTATTGAACTAAGAAACAAAATTAAGTGTTTTTAAAGACTTTCAAAATTCATAAATCATTAGCCTGTCTAATCAAGGGAGGGCAAAATGAAACTATAAAAATAAAAAATGGATACAGTAAATTGACAACATAGAGGAAATAAAGAGAATCATCAGCAATTACTACAGTCAATTATATACCAAGAAAAATTGACCATTAGAAAAAAATCAATGAACATCTCTTTAAAAAATACACCTTCCAAACAACATAACAGAGACCTTAAACTATCCAATCTTGGAAAAAGAAACCAAGTAAAATATAAGTGAATTTCCAAAGGAAACAACCTTGGAATGCATAGATTTATAAGTGAATCATGTAAAACATTTAAAGAACAATTAATGCCTATGTTATAAAAACTGTTTGCCAAAACACAGGAAGTGCTCTACATAAACTCTTTTTATTAAACAAATAGGCATTTGATGGTCAAAGCAGATAGAGGACAATGATCCAGTTTCAGTAATGAATAGTGCTATAAAATATTTAAATTCTTACAAGAAAATTAAAGAAATATATTCTAAAAACAATATACAGTGACAAAGTTATAGCCTTACCAGAGCTGCAGAGATAGCTCAACATTAGGGAAATCACTAGCAAAAGATCAATCATATAAATGACAAAGATCACTATATATATATATATATATATATATATATATATATATACACACATATATATGTGTGTGTGTGTGTGTGTGTATATATATAGTATATATATATGTATATATATATATATCTGTGTGTGTATGTGTGTGTATATATATATATATATATACACACTTTCATTTTTTTCACAATAGGAGCAATGATCCATGACAAAATACACTACTCATTTATGTTAAACAAAAACAAACAAAAAAGAACTTTAACAGTTTAAACATGGAAGGCTCCTGCTTGAATATGATTATTCTAACGCATATATCTAAAACTAAAAGTTAATCACTTTCTGCAATGAAGAGACACCAAAAACTTTCCCAGTACCAGCACAAAGATGGAATGTGACAGTGTCACGATGTCTGACCAATCAAACATGCTTCCCCAAAGGCTACCAACAAGGAAAAGAAATTCTTGTTTCTCTGCATTAACTGAGCATGAAACTATGTGTTTGTATATTTGTGGGCATATATGTACACACACACAATCCAACATTCATGAAAAGATTGATACTGTAAATTCAGTAATGGCTCTTTAAAACTAGCTAGAATTTCTGATCAACTGAATGGTTCACCAATACATAGAATGGAATCTAAGATTAACCAGCAGTACTTTGGGATGCTGGCAGTTGGAAGTAAGTGGAAGGGTAAGTTAATCTAAGAAAAATATCTAGAGGAAACAAATTGAAGCAGCCTGCCTGAAGGTATATGAGAACAAAGACAGAAATGAAAGTATAAACAAGGGGAAGAAGGGAAGAATTTTTTTCAGGAAAATAAATTAAGGATGTAACAAACACCACTAGGTATTTAGAAGGTGAAAAATAGATAAAAAGAAGTCACTTCAGGAATGACAGCAACGGTGACCAGTAACAAAAGGTAGAGTCTGAGTTAGTCTATCTTCCGTAATAAGAATTCAGTAACATAATTTAGTTTTAATATCCTGGGCCAAAGATAAAAAATTGGAGGGTCCACTATCATCAGCAAAGATAGGTCTACTGAAAGCATCTATACTTGCAAAGGTAGGTATTCTCTCTCTTTAGGATACAGTCTACAGCTCATATAATTCCTCAATGAGATACCAAAGTCCCAAGAGAGAATTTTGCAAGATACCTATGAAGGATGACTAGAAATGAAAAATGTCAAGTTAGTATTGCTCGACTGTAGCTAAGTCTGCTCCCTTTGGATTCTTTTAGTAATTATTCCCTTCAACTTATTCCTGAACTCCTATGCAGAGTAGCAGATTGTGACAGTTTATCAAACTCTTACTCTTACCAGCTTATATCAACTGTCTACTATGTGCCAGGCACTATGGTAAGTACTTAGGATACAAAGAAAGACAAAAAAAAAAAAACAGTCCCTGTTCTCAAGGAGATTACAGGCTAATGGGAGAAACAACCTACTGAAAAACTATGTACAAAAAAGATATATGCAGGATAAATTGAGAATAATCACAGAGGGAAGGCATTAAGATTGAAGAGGACTGGGCAAGGCTTTGCACAGAAGTCCCATCATCTCTTTTAGTGTCCTCTCATTTATCAAGTAATCAGTTGTCATTATAGTTAAAATTCTTACTGTGTAACAATCTTGATAAAACATCTGGAGTTCTGTGGTTCCTTATTTTTTGTCACACAGGGACAAATCCGAGTCCCTAACTGAGAAGCTAACCTGACAAGATGAACGTTCAAAGGAGAAAAAACTCACAGACACATAATGAACCCCACCGGGACCATCGTGGTTTCATTGGGACCCACCGTGTGTCCCAAGGGACCCAAGGTAACTCAAAACAACTTTCTCACCACCACCATCAAAAGCATGGAGGACGGCATGAACAGCACATAACGATTCCGCAAGTTCCACGAAAAAATTACCTATATTTTCTGGAAGAGAAACGAAGATTACAGTTCAAGAAATTCCTCCTCCACAGAATATTTCTTGTGGCCAAGATATCGGCAAATGCGGATAAGAAAAAAATTGCTGAGTACTATGAGCAAGTGTATCAAAATATACTCAAGTTACACGTGGGAGAAAATGTCACTGGGATCATCCTTATCTATCCTACGACCACTCTCCATGTCATTGAGAGCTCCTCTGGGATGCTTTACCAAATTCTTCAAGACTATGTTTCTCATGAAGAAGATGAACCTAGTTTTTTGCTCCAAGATCTTAAAATTTTAGTTGTGTCTCATAACATTCCGACGAGACTCTTCATGCAATGGTACACCTCTATGATCACTGTGCCAGTCATGTACCTGGAAGATATCACACAATCACAATCTAAAGACGAGGTGGTTTCTGAATGCCTCACCCTGCTCAAGCTGGGCATGTATCTCTTAAGGAATGTTAAGGTGGGCACCAAAGGACCAGGAGATACCCTGCACAACCTTGTGCCTGAACTTATCCCTTCTGAAGAAATCATAAAGTATCTGTGTAGAGCTGAAGGCTTTCTGGCACCTGCAGAGTTTTTAAGAATGTATAACAAGCCTATTCATGTGACACTGGATGCCGAAGTCGTGTGGCCTGCCCCCACACCTCTATAGGACAAAGATGGATTTCTTTTAGATTGTTTTAGTTCTCATCAAGCATTGTCTTGTTGACATAGAATATAACAATATAACTAGGGCATTTTTAATTACTTGAAACAGAATAACAGCTTATAACATAGTCATGTGTCCACTGATGTGGATAAATAAATCCATATAACATAGCATATTATATTTATTTCCTTTTACTATCTGCATAACTCCCATGAAAATTTTTGCAAAGTATGTTAAGATAGCAATTTTTTTCCACTTACTCATAAACTAGGCAATAAAAATAAGAGTTAGATGATTGTTGTTCATTTGTTTCTGACTCTTCATGACCCCTTTGGGGTTTTCCTGGCAAAGATACTAGAACAGTTTGCCATTTCCTTCTCCAGCTCCTTTTACAGATGAAGAAACTGAGGCCAACAGGGTTAAGTGACTTGCTCAGGGTGACACAGCTAGTAAGTATCTGAGGCTAGATTTGACTTACAAACCTACCCTTCTCTTATCTCCTTCCCTTTCTATTCTCCTGTAGAGCAGGATAGATTTCTATACCCCACTGCATGTATATCTTATTTTTCGGTTTCATGTAAAACCAATTTTTAATATTCATTTTTAAAACTTTGAGTTCCAAATTCTCTCCTTCCCTACTCACTCACCCGCATTGAGGGGGCAAGCAATTTAATATCAGTTATATATGTGTAGTCATGCAAAACACTTCCATAATAGTCATGTTGTGAAAGACTTAACTTACATTTCCCTCCATCCTATTCTGGCCCCTCCCCCCATTTATTCTATTCTCTGCTTTGACCCTGTCCCTCCTCAAGAGTCTTTGCTTCTGATTACCCCCTTCCCCAATCTGCCCTCCCTATCATTCCCCCCTCTCTTATCTCCTTCGCCCCTATTTTCCTGTAGGGTAAGATAGATTTCCATACCCAATTGAGTGTGTATGTTATTCCCTCCAAATCCAGTGAGAGTAACATTCACTCATTCCCTCTCACCTCCCCCCTCTTTCCCTCCACTGTAAAAGCTTTTTCTTGCCTCTTTTATGTGAGATACTTTATTCCATTCTATCTCTCCTTTTCTCTTTCTCCCAGTACAATTCTCTCTCACCCCTTAATTTTTTTTTAGATATCATCCCTTCATATTCAACTCATCCTGTGCCCTTTATATACATACATACAAATATGTATTATATATGTATATTTGTATGTGTGTGTGTATATATATATATATGTGCATATGTATATATACACACACATACAAATATACATATATACATACATATTTGTGTGTGTGTGTATATATATATATGTATGTGCATATATGTATATACATATACATACACACACAGAGCCTCCAACTACCCTAATACTGAGAAAGGTCTCATGAGTTACAAATATTATCTTTCCATATAGGAATGTAAACAGTTCAACTTCAACAAGTCCCTTATGATTTCTCTTTCCTGTTTACCTTTTCATGCTTCTCTTGAGTCATGTATTTAAAGTCAAATTTTCTATTCAGCTCTGGTCTTTTCATCAAGAAAGCTTGAAAGTCCTCTATTTCATTGAATGTCCATTTTATCCCTGAAGGATTATGCTCAGTTTTGCTGGGTAGGTGATTCTTGGTTGTAACCCTAGCTCCTTTGACCTAGGCTAGGATGTGATAATATTTATAAAGCCTTTAATAAAGTGTCTGGCATATAGCAGGTGCTATGCAAATGCTCACTTATTATTACTAATCTCAAAATACCTTGATATTGTCTCCTACTCTCTTCTCCTTTTCCCCAGTCTCTGACAAAGAGTCACCTTCTCATCCTTGACTTTCTTCTTGTCAAAGCCAATTGTTCTACATGTGGATATGATTCATTCCTCCCATCTTCTCCAACAGATAGCATCCATAAGCATTCCTCGGCTCTCTCAAATCTTCATCCTTTCTCTATCAATTAGTTTCTACCCTATTACTTTCAAACAGTTTTCCCCATCCTTAAAAAAAAACCTCACGGGAATATGTTTTGTAAGACTGCACAGGTACCATCTTCTATTTCTTCTCTCTCTCAGCCAAACCACTTGAAATGTGTCTACACTCACTGCCTGCACATTTTCTCCTCGTACTCCTTTCTCAACCCTTTGAAACCTAGTTTCTGAGTTCACTGCTCAACTGAAACTATTCTCCCCAAAGCTACCAGTGATCTCTTAAATTATAAATTTTGACAGTCTTCTCTCAGTCCTAATCCTTTTCAACCTTTCTGCCACATCTGACACTACCGACCACCCTCTCCACCTAGATACTCTTTTTTTTCTCTCTAGTTTTTTATAGCACTGTTTCAAGATTCATCTCTTACCTGTAAAACTGCTCCTCAGTCTGCCTTGTTGGTTCATCACCCACATCATATCCCTAATTGTGGATGTTCCTTATGGTCCTAAGGACTATATTCTTTTTCTCATCTCCTCCTATATTCTATCTTGATAACCTCATCAGATCTCATTGCATTAACTATCATCTCTGTGTAGATAACTCCCCAGCCTATATGTCTAATCCCAGGAGTCTCTGCTGTGCTTCAGTCCTGCATCACCAATTGCCTATTGGACATTTTAAACTGAATGTTCAGGAGACATCTTAATTCAACATTCAAAAATTGAGCTCATTGTCTTTCTCCCAAATCCTCTCTTATACACATCCTTATTTTTATAGAAAATACCACCATCCTAGGAGAATAATCTTGGCATTATACTGGACTCCTCTTTATATCCCTCATCCCACACAGCCAATCACAGTTGCCAAACCTTGCTATTTTCAACTTTATAACACGTCTTTTCATTCTCCTCTCCAACAATACAAATACCACATTAGTTCCAGCTCTCATCATTTCTCACCTAGAGCACTGCAACAGCCAACTGACTGTCCTCCCTTTCTCAGGTTTCATCCTTCTGGTCCATCCTACACACTGTTGCCAAAGTAATTTTTCTTAAGCACAGATCCGACCATATGACTCACCTACTCAACCAAGTCAAAGTAACTTCCTTTTGCTTCTAGAAAACAATATAAACAGCTCTATTTGACTTTTAAAATGACACAAGCTAGCCCCAACCTATCTTTCTAACCTCACTGGATATTACTTTCCCTTTCTGAACTCTGTGATCCAGCCAAACAGGCCTTTTCTCGCAGAAGAAATTCCATCTCTCATCTCCATGTCTTTGCACTGGCCATCCATCATGCCTATTACATACTCCCTCTTTCCCTCCACCTAATAGTCTCTCTCTTCCTTAAGGAGCAGCTGAAGTACCATTCTCTACTATGCTCTACAGGGAGCCTTTCCTTATCCATCTAACTACTCGTGTCTTCCTTCCCAACCTACCTTGTATTGTACTACTTTGCATTTATTTATCCAACTTTGTATGTATGCATATATATATATATATATATATATATATATATATATATATATATATATACACACTAGATATATTTTATATGTATTTTTGTCTCCCCTATTGGAATGCAAGCTCATTATTAATATGTATTGTATCATTCTTTGTACTGGTAATCTCCAGTACCTCACATACTACTTGACACATAGTAAGCTTTTAATAAATACTAATTGATTGATTTATTAGACAGAGAAGATGCTTAACAAAACAGTTGACTGTTTAGCAGTCATGATAACATGAAAAAAATAACAACTACTGATAGCTAAGATCATATTTACCAGTAAGATAATAATAGAACAATTTCTCTGACAGTGGGATCCTATCATCAAAAGCCTATTTAAAGTAGTTGTGAGATGCTGTAGGGACTCTCTATATTTATCAGCTTTTCTATGGCTATTTACTCCCAACATCTAAGGAACTGAAGAGATTCTTCTGGTTGAATTGATTATCATACACAAGGTATATTGCAACCCATAAAATACTAAGTAAATGGGTAGTTATTAATTCCATAGTTATATGACTCCTCACATAAAGAAAAATTCATTGTTGGGGCAAGACTGAGAAAATATGATTATTTAGTTTCATCTGTTAGGAAAAAGATTAAGTGGGAAAGAGAAAACCAGGAAGTCCAGGGTAGGGGGAGCAAGAGAAAAAGAATTAAGACACCAGTGAAAAAGTGTAAGTCCTCTGAAAGACTAAATGGAATATCATTAAATACTATGAAGCTTAAAGGGAAATAATAGATAAAACAATTACTACAACCATGAGTGAAGATGAGGACCTGAATTCAAATCCAGCCTCAGACACACAGCACTTACTAGCTGTGTGACCTTGGGCAAGTCACTTAACCCCAATCGCCTCACCAAAAAAAAAAAAATAGCCATTTACTTGATCTTTATAGTTTAGAAATGAATGTCTTTTCTCTATCCTCATCAAAATATTTCAGTATACACCTTCTCCCATCCTCCAGGATATAAGGAAACACAGGGAAGTTTCTCAATTTTTTTTACACTCCTTGCTTTTTATTAATTGTTAAATCAGAACAAGAAATTAAATTTTTAATGAGTTTTGTTGCTTTCTTTATATCCCCAAAATTGATTTGCATAAGTACACTTTGCATTCATCAACCAAAGAGAAGGGGGGGGAAAAAAAGATTGCTTTCATGTACTCATTTCATTTCTATCAAAATTCTTCACCAATTTCCATGGAGATTTGAATGTGAAAAATCCATACTAAGATTCCTGCATTCAGAACACAGCCATATAACCTTTGCAAATAAGTTTCAAAATCACTTTCTGGAGACTGCATAATCAAGCATCATTTGGGAATGTTTATCTGGAAATGTAATGAGGCTAATGGTTTATTGCAAAGCCAAGGGACACAATAGCTCATTGAAAACTACCAGAAGGTAGGCTGTCAGCTACTTATTTGGCTTCTTGCAGGAGTTATTTCTTACTGGCCATAGTCAAATGATATGGAAATGAGTCATTGTCTACCAGCTTCCATTTACTACCTTTTGAAGGAATTAATCAAATATTGGTTCTGCCTGATGACTTTTGAAACCCAAATTTTTCTTTAACAAAGGTCAACATTTATTTGCAAATTTTATCATATTTCTCGGATCTGCTTATATAATTTTAATGAAAGCAGCACTTTGTCAACTTCAATGATTATTTCTAAAAGCACCTGAAAAGCTTACTGGATAAAGTTAGTCTTTAATGGAAATATATTATTTCTCCTTT